ACGAAACGGGGCACCGCTATTTGGACATATACATGTACTGGGTGTTTGGAAAACTCTATGGGAAGCTAACCAAAGTTTGGTGATATAAGAGTAATTTTCCATGCAATATTTTCTCCTTGCCTGTTCTCTAAATATGTACTTGGAAAATACTGCTTATTTGAAAATAACAATAATAAGAGAATATTTTATTGGCGGACGAAGAACTTACCTAGAGGTTCTTTCAGCTCCCATGGTTCTTATCTTCTTCGAAAATAAGAAGTGTCTTATCTGAATTCTTATTATGTTATAGTGCACACTATTCGTTATATATATATATATATATATATATATAATTCTCCAACCCCTAAAGTATCCTCTAACGAATTGCATGTATACCTAATTAGTCTACCAACCTCCTGAAACAATCAAATACTGGAAAACATCCTGAAAAATACATGTAAGCAACAGTTTCGCTTTTGACACACACGGCGATTTGGATTTTTGGACATGCACTCCTTGTCCAGTGGTTTCTGTTTTTTCCCTCTATATAGCGATTTACGTATAGTTGAAAGTTCCATGACAAGCAATAATAGCATGCCTGGATATCACGAACCCATTGGCCTGCGTCCGACCACACTTTACCCGGAACAGGCTAAAGGACTAAAGCATTACATACAACTAATATTTGTATGGCCTGTGCTACAACTTTAGATATAGCCATCGAGAAGCTGTGTAAAGCTTTTTCTTCAAGAGGGTCTCTTTGTAAGCGAAGCCAGTTTTAACGAAAACGTAGTCCTGATAAGAAACGTATCGGATGTCTCTTGCGCCGTACGTTGAAGATTTGGATCAGTCGAAGAAAAAGTGTCAGACTCGGCCTTGTGCTGTCATGCTATCATGAAATTGAGACTTTACACTGAATAGCCGACTTGAAGAAATCTTTTTTGACTAATTGGTAAACTGTAGTTTTCATCTTCGGAACCCAAAAGTTATTGTAGTTCTTCGGCTTTGTTCAGGTTAAAAAACCATAGTTTTCACAATCTCTGTTACTAATTTAAGGACTATTAAACAGCCTGCTAGAATGAGTATTTTTTTACTTTACCAGAATCAAAGTTTATCCGTATCAAATATAGCGTCTTAAAAAACCTGATTCTGAATAAGCGATGGTGGCATAACAATGACTACCACTGGTAATTACCATAGAGAAACGGTTCAGCTTGTCAGACAAAAGCAGATTTTCAGAACCACGTTCGTATAGGAGCGTAAGTTTGCGAACTTGTTTTGACATGAATGCCTGAGCGAACTTTAACTAACCAATCAAATAGCAAGTCCCAACAAAACTCAGTGAACTAATAATGAAAAACCCACAAACCTACAAGGACAAAAAGTACTAATTAACCTGACCTGAAGTTAACTTTCATGTTATATTAATTTTTTCCCTGTCAACGTTTCGCGCTAATGTTTGTTGAAATCAAATTGCGTTCCATGGACAACGTACTTTACCTAGAATAAGGCACCTCGAGATCACGGTCCAGTTCTATAGGAGTGCCTGCTTCTCGTCTCTGTTTGCGATCTCTGACAAAAAGAGCTATACTTTAAAGCGCTAAGTTAGGCTCTTCGTCTGTACAAGAAGACACTACCACAGAGTAGTATAAATATGACATTTATCCGTTGCTGCCGACGGCAGGCACGGTCGAGTCATCGAGTACGTTACATCTGTTTTGTAATAGAAAGGCGGCCCGGCATCTGGCCGAAGACCACTGTACTAAGCGATACGTCGTTTGAAAAATACAACGATACGATCCCTGAACAGAAGACTGGTGCCGGCCCGCGGCGCTTGCCCTCCACTTGAAGTGTGACGCTTAGCTCGTCATGAGTGCCCAGTTTGTACAAATACACTCTGGTCGGGTGTAGAGGTAATATGAACAATAGAGGTGGTCGGCTGGTCGAGGACCCCTAGAACAGACGACGAGGACTGGTAGTATATGAATGCGCGTCGCGCTGCTCGACTGCGTCCAGGTGGGTTGTCGATTAGGAGACAAAGTGTCGCGACTCCAACATAGTAAGGAACGACGTCGATAGCCGAAGCGTACGCCAGCTTGCTTGGTTTTGCTGCGATGTCAAATATGGAGACTCGGCGAACATGAAAGGGCAGACAAAAGAACCTAGGCTCCCGTAGGCAGACTGGGTCCTTCGACAAGGACGGTTACATCTGAATTCTTTAACGGTTTAGGCATCACTTTCGAATAGGTGGGATGAAGAAATAATACATCAACAAAATAGGACAGGCTGATAGGAAAGCTGAATAAGGAACTAGTTTTTAGCTATTGTCGGATCATTGTGTGATAGCTACGACTCAGCATGGTCTCATCAGTTGTCGGAAGGATTTTGAACTTTTCCTCACGTTCGTGCACGGAAACAGCTGAGCTGTCACAAGCGAACGCAGTCGGCCAATAAAGTTCAAACGATTGTTTGGTAATAATACCCACGTTTCAAGAATTCACCCGTTGCAACAAGGTGGTAAATTAGGTATTCTATATAAATAAATAGACAAATAAAGTGATATAAATATTACATCTCTCGTCTGCGATGGCATGCTCTGTAATTTAAACAAATATGCGAATATATTTCACTCGAAGATATACAAAAATAGGAAATATGTATGTATATATGGAAACCATTTGTTCGCTTCATTTCTTATCTTGCCAATAACGGTAGAACCACAAGCTAACCGTATTGACCAAATATCCCGGTAAGCAGTTTTGGTCCATCCTTATGTTATCAGACATCACGTTTTCTCTTATCCCTAATATCCGTTACCATTTGCTGTGTCAACGCTCAGTCTATCCACTTATTATATATAACCTGGAGCTAGCTCGCTAACTTTAATTGACCGAAAAAGACTTGTCGCTCTGATTAGTCAACATCTCGGTCCTTGGTTCTCCCATTTAGAGCGTTTCAAATTAAGCTTACACCCTTAGCAGCTGTCCATGTCGGCCTTAGAGTTTCCGTTATTTTGTCTACCCCTTGCTGTCTCAAGGTCAGTTTAAAAGGTATGTTTCAACTGGATTGTATTATATAGCAGCCTTTCTTCAATTGTATTTACATTTTTATATTGTAAGATTCGTATCAACAGGTAAATATTTCTACACACCATCTAACTCTAAGATGGTACTTGTCATCCTAAATGGTTAATTAGCAAAACCAATTTATCTAAATACTCCTGTCACTTTCGAGCTCGGTCTTCCGATTAACGAGACTAAAACATTGACAATGAAATTCAGATGAGGATGAAGGCTTCCCCGTGTCTAAGAGGAAGGACCCTGAATATTATCAAGCCATTTATGTGCCTCAGCCTCAGTTTGACGGTTACAACAACAGGGAGATCTTTTACGCATCATAGTAAGGGCAGAGCTAGAAAACAGTGGTCACGGCTGTGATAATTGAAAATCCGCACAGCCTATTAGTACTAGTAGATACATACGGGATCCCCGTTTTTTTTTTGAGAAATTCTAGCCCTACGGGATCTATGGAGTTTGGGCAGATTCAAGTCGGCATACGTGGGGATGACACTAAGCCTTGACGCAATATCTCACAGTCGCTTAATATACCCATTGACTGGCACTCCGACATTTCTCAAAAATATTCGAAAATCATAGCGTAGTAGGACATTTACACAAACGCGAAGGTCAGTCAAAATCGGCCGAAGTAAATTTTTCATTTTCCTCAAGTCCAATTAAGATGAACGTCAGGTGGACAGAGACGAACAAAAGTAGGCGTCATGTCAAAGGCGCCTTGCAGTGCATCGGTTCTGTCATCTTATTTGCGAAACGCAAGAACACTATGAATCCAGACTTTTTTTTTTATCGTATCACTCCGGCCAGTGTAGCCTAACCAGATCAGTGAATCAACTCGCGGCCTTAATATCACCGAATTTAACATGTTCATACATGCACGCAACCATACGTAGTTGTAGCTTTCGTTACATATTGTACATTTACACAAACGATGTAAAATAAATGATATCCCTAATACTTTGTCAGATTTTGTCGTACTCCAAACGACATGATCGGTACTTGAAGCAGGCTGAGCCCGCAGCTGTTCATTAACGAATCAAACTTTTTGCCCAAGTACATAACGCCGACTTCATACAGCTTCGCCGAGCCATCCTATCATTATCATACGAATACGTATACGCTGAATACATCTTCAACTGAACTGCCCTAAGCATCTTCCATGCCCATTTGCTTTAGATGACTGCATGCAGTCAAAAGCTTTATATGTATCAGAGCTATTTAAAGCAGCGGATGCGGACAAAGGAAATTCAAAATAGATCCGAGAGAGCTGTATAACATTCATTGTAACAGCTGCAAATTCTGTGGCACTATACTTAGTTTAAGTATCCTATGGAATATACGGCGTTTAGCCATTATCATACCTATTTTACTAGAGCAAGCGGTCTCAATGTATAGCGGACTTTTCTGCATCAGCTGGGAAATTTTTTGCGAGTCGCATGGGGTCAGATCATCATCAGCAGCAGCAGCACATTCACTATTTATTAAGTCTTCGAAATAGGAAAAAACTTTGTGAATAATAATAAGGAAACCTTGTGAGAGTCGCTTGACACCAATGGACGATGCCAGTTTTCAATTGAATACTTGTTTTGACGTAAACGTGAAGTCTGTCTGGTTTAAGGACACCTGCTCGTGCAAGACAAAAATGACATGTAGGAAATTTTCTCGGGTTTTACTTACGTGGGAGTTAATACTTAAGTTAAAACTAAGTAGGTACAATGCGCTCGATTAGTTAGAAATATCTGGCATGAATTTTTAGGGTAGAAAGCTAAGTCTTTGGTCGAAAACCAACAGGGATTGCTGCTCCAAGTTTCGCAAATGAGACATAACATTACGCAGTCCTTGTAAATAAAATCATTTTATACCAGAAATAAAATAGAGAATATGAACTGGCATAGTAACTGCCTAGAAATAGACTAATACTTTATAATAAATTCGTCTGATTTTCAGTTATCGCGGTTCGCCGAATTCGTTGAGATGCATCGGCTCCTAGGTTATCAGCACTTCTTTTTTTATAACCACACCATCGGCCCGCACGTCGGTGCTCTCGTTAATAACTACGTACAACGAGGTAAGCCAATACTGTACTATATACGCGGTATAAACAAACGAAGTAAACGCTCGAAAGCTACTATAATGAAAATTCGTTACGGTAAAGATATACTTTTGACGTTAGGTAAAAGATTAAAGGACCGCACACGTCCATGAAATACCGGAATTTATGTTCAGCTGTGAGGGTTCTGCGCTAACAATCTGCGATCTTGTTAGAAACCGTGTATCTTCATTTTGAAGAAGATAAATATAATTTGAAGGTACATAGTCTTTACTTCTGCTAATTAGCCGTTGTGCATTTGTGTACATGCATTACCTTAGTCGCATATGAAAGTCCGGCTTTTTGTCCCCCCAGCCATTTTCATCACATCCAGCCAGGAATCTTGCGATATAAGCGCGCGAGACAATGTGCTTATAGCATATTGACTGGTATCTTTGATTTCTGCTCGTCTTTATCTCTGCCTTGAAAATCGGTGGTTATCATTCCTATTCTTTGCTTTGTTTACCAATTGAAAGAGGTATCAGACATCGTTTTCCTGTAATGTTTACTTGATTTACACAGCACGTACGTTTCTATTTGCCCTACTAGCCCCTAGACTACACGGAAATCTACGGACTTGATCCGGACTGGTTGTTGTAATTTAGTTCCGTTAAAAAGGGTCGCTTGAGTTTTGCGTCCCGCTTTCTATTAATGCCTAAAAGGATACATTGACCATGTAGCTATATTTGTCTAAATTTATGGCAGGTTAAGTGTGTAACTATAAGAGAGAGAATTTAACTTCTCTCTCTCAATATGGATGCGCCATGTCGTCATAGACGCTGACCCGAAAAGTCTTCCTTACTTTTGCATTCCTTTCCTTAAGATTAAAAAAGATAATTTTGATTGGTCCACGATTTGAATCGAGCGTTGGTTCAAAATCACATGTATGCGTCATAAAGCCTGTCTATACTAGTGTTTAGCCGAAGCAGACAATCCTACTTGTTATTTCTCCTATTGGAGTAAGTGCATTGCACGTATTTACAGGTGGAATGATAAGACACAATGAATTACTACCTAATGAAACTTTCATATAACGCCTCCTGACCCTTCATGCTGTGCATGTTCATGTAGAAAAATAATTGTGGCCTGATATTAACCTTCAGTCGGTCGGAGTATCTAAAAACCTAATTATTTTAGATTTTGTATTGAAAATAGTTCAACAAACGTTTTTTTGAATGCCTCCTTGTCTCGTTCCAGAATGCGTTCGTTTAGTTGACTCGGAGTTATAATTCTTATTTAACTTCGAAGTTGTGCTTCTCCTACCCACGCGACAACAAAACAGATACGTTCTAGTTAGGTGCAATGGGCAGGGAACTCAATCATCTAGTCCAAATGCTTGTTGGTTTCGGACGCCCTCGAAAACCAGTTTTTCTTTCTAGGTCTTGCTCACTTTTTCCTTAACTCTCTACCGTTGCCTTGCGAGGTGTGTGGGCAATCAGAAATTTTTGGGCCACAAAAAACGTTCTGGAGCCGAGGGCCGCCATCTAATCCGACGTTGGCGGCTGGGCCTCTCACCTCGTTTGTCTCGCATAATATTAAGCATAGAAAAACATTCGTCTGCATCATGTAGCAGCTGATCAGCCACGTATTTATCCACTACAGTATGTTTCAATCTTCTATCAAGCGAGCGTCACTACATAAGCTCTGTACGCTTTAGAGTTTTAGTTACTAAGCCCTTGACCACTAACCCATGTGCTGAAATTTTATTCCATCGCAATAAATCAACGACACGAATAGTTAATAAATTATTAACTTTTTTTTTACATGTAAAGTTTCTCTTGAATCTAAAAAACATTAACGCCATGTACAGAATATTTATGAAGGCAAAATTTATGAACAATTATATAATTATTATTGTAATTTAATAGATAATAAAAAAAAATAAGGATGATTTGTAAAGTACTTCCTGTAAGTAATGTTTACGATGAACGTAAAATTGATGGAAATATATATTTACATTGTAGAGTTTTGAGGTTTCGTATCAATCACTCGTAACTGAGCGTTGTAATTGCTTCGGTATAGTAGTCATTAGATTGCCGGTTTACCGACAGTAAAAGCAGCAGCTTTGTGATTCGTTTCATTTTTATGTTGTTTTTCTAGCCTCTGTCATGGATGTTTTTATCGTTATTATTCTATTTCTTCTTCTATCCAATTTACTGCACTTTCAATTTTTGGATGCACAAACGCGACCCGTATGCTGCGTCCTGCCAATGACATCGAAACCATGTTCGCCCAAAGTCGGTTTGACAGGCTTGCGCAGATGCCCGTTGGATCTGCCCGTTAATCTTGCGTGTCTTTACACTGTCTGGTTGCCATAAATGAAATTATCTAAGCCGACGGCCATTTGGGTGACTTGGTACAAGTATTGCAATAGAACAGGACTTTAACTAGCAAAGAGGCCAGTCATCTCATTCACTTCAACCTATTTTGCCCTGTCAATGTCCATTGATTCGCCGCGCTGACCGCTGGCTTTGAAAGGCGCCGTCGGCTGTGACGAGCTCAGTCACGTCTTCCTACTGCTCGGTTGAGGTTCGCTGCAGCAATGGGGAGTAGAAGTCCTTATGAGCTGTTTGTGCAACGCACGTTGTTTATAGTAATAGCGATGTGACAGTCCTGGATCAACACAATGGACGAATCGAGAGACGCTTGCCGTGACGGGCACAGGGGGCACTAGTCGCAAGATGGTATACATACGCGTGTACATCTACGCGAAAATTTTCGTATAACCTCTTCGCAAGCTACTCTTTCTCGCCTCCCGACATGACGCTCTGCTTGTTTTTTTGCCAGCAGCAAGAGCTTTCTTCCCCATTTCAGAGATTTCTTACACTTGGATGCAGAAAGGGATATGTACATCTTATTGAGGCTAGGTATCAGTTAGCCTATTCTAACGTTTATAGCTGGATACTCAGCTTATTTTACTGAAAAGTGGCCGACACATGTGCATCATTCGCTGTACATGTTCGTATACCTATTGCGTTGGAATTGCTTATTTCGAGTAAACGACAAGAACAGACGCGCAAACATGTCTTTCAGAGATCATGTTTGATATGACGTAAATATTAATTCTTGGGCAACCACAGACCCATCCCGGCAAGCCTCACGTCAGCTCGACAAGTAATAGATATATGAATTTTCCTCCCTTTGATTATAGTACTATGAGAGAGTTCAAATACGATATACCTATATGAAATCAATGAAGGGCAGTCATGCTACAGGCACAGCCATAATGCCAAACAAAAAATGACTACTTACTAATGGTACAATCAACCCTCCTGGACTTCTCTTATATTAGAAATATATCGATGCTACGATAGGTAGATGCTACGTGGTAGGCAGTCGTGAACTACGTGGCATCTAAACGTTGCGTGTCTATTCGTCGTGACTGATCGTACTTTCTCTACACCATCTACAATATCCGCTCGTTCCACGTGGTATGATGACATTGTATTCTATCAGGGCGGAGAATCGGCCTGTGGTTCAGCCCGCGACGTCATAGAACAATAGAACTGGCACAATCCTATGGGCTGTGGTGGTTATGCGGGACCGGTACGTCATCACGCGAAATTGTCATCGTTTTTGTCATCCTGAAATCGGATCACTGGCGTACGTTAAGAACTAGATGTTTTGTATCGAATAAAATTATTGCGAATCTTAGAAAATATTCGAATAATATAAGGTGTTATCTGCAATTACAAAGATATGTCATGCAATGAGGCCAATGAAATCCCAATATGGAGGATTGTTCAAGTTGGAAGACAAGCTACAGTGGGGTTCATTGAAGAAAGATACGATTGGCTGTATAGTTTTAATTGGTAAAACTTTCAGTGAAGTGTTTGGGCGTTTCTACCCATAAATCCAATCTCCTGTCATAGAAATATAATAAGTCTTCGGTACGTTTGGTGTTTTTCTTTTCTGTTGCTCTACCGGTCGCGTCTAGCTTTGCGCTCCGTATAACTATAATAACCGTCTTTTTTTTTTAACTTGTGCGCTATCGCGATTAATATTTTTGCACTATAGTAAAATCGTTGTTATTGCCAACGACACCCCTGGCCGTTAATGTTGTGCTTTCCCTTACTGGATTCCTTTGCCGTTTAGCCAATTTCTTTCTTCATTCTTTCTACTTGTAGTGTAATTTGTCAACGTCCCGATAGGCTCTGCCGTCTTGGAGCAAATCGGGATGAGCATACACATATATATGGCGTCCATACATAAATACTCAGTGGGTGGCTTTTTCATTGCTTCCGTTGCTATTGCTGCTGCTTCCTCTAGCGGGCTTATCACAAGACTGCCACAAGAAGTCATCACCATTTCTCAATGCCTTGTTCTCTCCTACGTCCCCGTTAGCTCTTCTAACCTTTTTGATGCCTTTGCTTCTGTCCCAAAAGGTTAGAACTCGCCCGTTGGACCAGCCCCAAAAAGTTGACATTTTTATCATTGTTATTATTATTATAGTCGCCATCGTTTCAACGACATGTTCCAGCCATTCTGACCGTCGCTGGTTATGCCGCGCCGCGGTCGTGTTGGCCCAAATGATATGTCGACTCGCTGCTTCTATGGAAAATGCTTGTCTGGAAATACAACCAACGCCTGGGCACAAGCCTGCTTCCTGAACCGTTGGTCCTCCACATCGGAGAATATGTTGACAAAAAAGAGAAGGAAAGGAAGCGTCTTTCTTGCACGCTCTATTTCCACTGTTACTACTACCGCTGTTATCGTCATTGTCTACTGCGTACGTTGTCCGGAGAATGCAGCGTGATGGAGGTCGAGTAGAATAGACGAGGAACAGGTTTGCGACGGGCAGTGGCCAGTGGTGGGCAGTGATGGAGATGAGGGAAGACTACGGGAGGGGGGCTTAGAATATAGGGTTCCATATTTCGAAGGATGGATGGAAAAGGACATAGGGCAGGTCAAGCAACGGAACCAATAACGCCAAAGTTGACCGCCAGCACATTTTTCCTGTCTATTAGAGGAAGGAATGTCGGTGACAAGACGCTATATAACGTACTAGACAAACGGAAACTGCTTAAGAAAATATGCAGATTATTAAAGCATCCTCACAATCAGTATCATAAACGGATAACGGTAGAAGAAAAAACAGAAGTCAAACAGGCTCCGTCAAGCTGACTAGCCCAGTTTAGTTAGCTGACTAATGAAAATACCGAGAAATGCGACAGTAGATTTTTCTATACATCATAGCATCCATATATGATGCACATTGCGATAATATACGTGGCGGAATTACCTCGCTGATGATAGGAAATATTTCATTGCTTTAATTGTTAAAGATATATTCTCTAGGCAAAACTCCCCGCTGTAGCATAAATACCACTGCGCGCGGTATCTGGCTATTTCAGAATAAAAACGTACCTGATCTCAGTGCCTTCGGAGATGAAATGTTATAGCTATTGCATGGATAGATTATAAAAATTCATATATAGTCGATTGGCAAAGTTGAAAGGACTATTATTGTATTAGTAACAATTATACTGAGAGATCATTGCAGCTGTTTATCATAACAATAACGGGAGATTTAAACCAGCACGACGCATTGATTTTAACAACCCTTTAAATTCAGAAAGTAATCGTCTACGAAATGCAATCGAAAGATGAAATATTTTAAAAGGACGGAAGAGCCTTAAAGATTAGGGGAAAAAGAGGGGCAGAGCTAGAGAGAAGCGGAATATAAATGGGGTATATTTGAAGGATCAGATGCGCATGGACTTTTGGGGGTGGCAACTGACCTTGTTGTGGGGGCCGTGTAAAAGGAAAGAGGGAACGAAGCGTTTTTGTAGGCCGGGCGCGCTATCTGAAAGTGTACTGCGATGAAAAAGTGGCCGCAATGCCCTGGTGGGAGGTTGTTGTAGTTTTATGGGTTACGAATAGAACGAAAACGTTTTACAGCAAATAAGAGACAATGGCAGTTTACAATGACCTTAAAAACTTTATGTGAGCATTCCTGTTCAAAATATTGTCGCGTTGAAAAATATAAGACCGAAAGCTGTCTTATCTAATAACACAAACGAATTTACCATTCAACTAAGGACCGACAAAGGATTCTATAAAAGTGAAAAGCCATTTTCTTCTTCCTTATAAAACAGCTCACCTCAATGTGTACGTCAATTCACGTAAATGTACTTAATGTCCACTATTACTGTACAGAAAAAATATCACAAAATGTAATAGCGACTGTGCGATGCTGCTTATTTGATCTGACATCTATATTTTGCAATGCATTATTTATTCACCGTCCCTGCGGTATGGGTCCGGAAACCTGGGTACCATACACTTCAGCGCAATAGCCCCTCGGCTCAGGATACGCAGCCAAGAAAAATAAGAAGTGCTGCTTGCTGAGTATAAATTCAATGGCCGCATTTTGCAGGACAAAGTGGTACGGATACGGACAAATGTGTCCCAATCGGGGGTAGCTGATTCAAGCAGATAGCTTTTTCTCCTTCAGTCCTTTAAAGAGATGCACCAGACGAGTACAGCCCACAAAAAAAAGAAGAGAAATGTGAAGAGAAAATTGCCTATCAATTAGCTGGTAGACGCTTATCCTTAGGCTCGACAGATCCTAGTTGCGGTCCTTTGTGTTTTTATCTCTTGATGTGCATCTCGCACCTATATGATGCTTTAGGTATATAGAGGGACCTTGCAGACTAGGTTAAGAGCTCGCTTCATATGGTGCCTTCTATATGTTGACCCGCATGGAGGAAAGGTTTTCATTAGTGTACCGGTAAGACAAAGCGAAAAATATGTTCGTCAGTGATGCTGCTGGCTGGTTCCGTGTCAGCAGACTCAAGACCGCTGTGTTAGGGGTTGTGTTGTTCTGCCATTTTCGTGAGCCTTACGTGAAGTGTCCATCCTTTCCATTTATTCTTTTTTTTCTAGCTAGTCTAGTTTAGGGTTTTTGTTGTTAGCGCAACAGCTGTTCTGGGCCACTGGCTGCACGTTTTACCATCTTGAACTTTCTTGGGTACTCTCTAGATCAGTGATGGGAAAGACAAAGAGAGGCCCCTTACTACACTCTGAAAATACTGCATCATTATCTATGCAGTATTACTTAGAGGTATATAGGGCAGAAAATGTGTTAATATGCATCACAGAACGAAAGAACTAAGAAGCAAATATACATAACACGTGAGAATTAACGATGGGTATGCCTTTGCCACCTTGCCATTGTTTAGTTAATTTTTTTTTTTCGAGACCTAGTTATGTTTTCCTAAAATAGATCAGCAAAAATACTGTTGCCCTTGGGAACTTTTCCAAAGACTACAGTTTTGTCCTTAAACAATCCCTGTTTACCTGGCACATTGACGCATCCATGTCCTTCATGATAATCATGAAGTTCAGCAACCTGTGGCTTCAAATGACGCTTGATAACCAGGGGCATCTATTGAAATATAATAAATTATATACGAATGTCTCGTGGCATTTGATGAAGGGCAAACACTCTGAACACACGTGCTACAGCAAACATGTGGAGTCTCTAAAAATCAAGTGTTGTCATGGAATGTCTTTCGTTCGTGGACGGGACGCGCGCCTTCGCTGGCCTGCTACTGTCGTTCTTACTTTCAAGCCAATAACTCCCGTGCTTGTTTTCCCATGTGGGGTACATATTGTTGATTTGCATATTTATGTCGGCTAGTAACGAAGCCGATACAAACTGAAGCAACGATGAGACGAGGGCTGCCGGTGCACGAAAAGCGTTATAGTTGTCGCAACGAGGAGCATATCCCGTTCTCATGGCTATAGCCGCCATTTGTTCGAGAAGGCACAATTCGTCGTCTATAGAATGATAACTCTTGTATTAGTAAGTGGGATTTGTCCCACATCGTCATGCCTGCGATCCATTACTATTTATTCCGCTGCACCTTGACCGTCATTTACCGCTATTCGAATATCTGTCGTATTTACATTTGAAAATGACATCGCTATTCAGTGATAATTGCTAAAAGCTTTGTTGACTGATTGATCCTCTGGGGGGTGTAGTTCATCTAACTGTGGCAGGACAGCTGTAACTTGGGCTTTAGGCACCCGATCATTGATTGCTCTGCACATTTGTTCTTATCTAGAGGCACTGTATCGTGCCAGAAAGAACAGCTACGTGCTTCATCTATATATCCTACGGCAATGTCTATCTATTGATGTAATCAAGCGGAAATGCTATGTTCCGACTTGTGTCTGTAAACCATACGACTCCAGTATACGCGTAGGTCGCCAGGTGCAGGTCGTGCTCGGCAGTCATGCATGCGCGTTATTAAGCGCAAATATTCAACGACGACCGACCTGGATATATGTCTGAAAGTATTGCTATCATCGGGCTTGGACGGATCAGTGGGTGGTTTCAAGAAGAGCGACCACGTTATCTTAGAACACTGGAATACGTCGACCTCATTTCGAAAAGTTGTTTTGATTAAGTTTATCTTAGTAAATACGGTGTCCTTTTAAAGTTTGGAAGTTTTTTAAGATCCGGGCTTATACGTGAGCTATCATGGCTGAACGAAATGTTACCCTCCGCTCCTCATTGCGTACAAATCAGCTGGCTCAAAGTGAATGTAAGAATGTATTTCACGTTGATCAATATCGTATATTCGACAAGCTCTGAACTCATACGAAATATATAACACTACTGTTTATCTAGTTCGTTACACATATCACTTAAAGCATAACGATTGGGGGTCTGAATAAACAAAGGAGAAATTTACCGCTTATATAAAGATGACCTCTAGGCTGTCGAACCCCTAGGCTTTATCTCCGAATCCCATGATTGTTTGTTAGAAGCACACATTCAGGTCGCAAACTCATTCGGCATCTATGTGCCATTTCCATTGCTAAATAATCCTTTTCACTACAATTAAACTACGATTGTATATATATATATATATATATATTTATAGTATATATATATACAACTGTATGGTACAGCATATTTGTAATTGCTCTCTTCATTGTGTCTTCTTTCAGGCATCGCAACAGTACTTCCATGGCAGCTGGACCTCGTCTCCCAGCGGGAAATTAGAACTGAAGGCCTTTTCGCCGCCCTCAATGATTGCTTGTACAGGTCCATGTATAGATTTCAATACACCGCTATGGTGGACTTCGACGAAGTCATTGTGCCTAAGCTTAAAGCAAATTCTACAGTTCTCGTAAGTGATCGCGTTCAGTGAGATTTGGCAAGCCTATGAATCGTTGTTATATAATTGATCCTCACTTATGGAGAAGAGTAGAACCTCATCGCAAAATTACGTAACACAATAACCATTGAGTCATTTACAGACACCGTACTCTACAGCGTCTACGGCCTATTACGATCAAACAGTGAAACTGTGGTATATATATATATATTATAGTAAACGACGGAAAAGCACTTTGACGACAAAGTGTTTCTGAGACAAATAGTTACTTTTGGTTTAACAGGATTAAGTGGTCCATGTGAACACTCACAGTTTACTTCGTTATCTTTTCTTGTGCTAATGGCTAATTAGTATTTTGAAGGGGTATAAATCTCGTTCAGAAAGGGGACAATTTCTAAAAATATTCAACTTTTTAAATACATCTAACTTACTATGTTCGTAAGTTTACAAACTGAGAAGACAATCCTTATACAGGCTTACTTTTTTACTATTTTAAAATATATACTTTAATTGCTTTCGGTGTGGGAGAAGCATCTCAAGCGTTTTGGAATTTGTTTTCATTATTATTATATTAAATATCTTATGACGCAAAATAAATCATTGTATTTTATAAGAACAGTTGCGATGAATTAGTTTTCCGGGCCGCTATCCAGCTCGGAAGGGGGCAAGCGCCATTTGGTAGAGCAAAACGGGTAAACTAGAGATCATGATTTTTGAGCGCCAGATCGATTGCGTTCTCGATAGAACAAAATCTATA